GTCATTAGATGAACAGCATGACATTGTGGAACGTGCCAAACACATTCTTGGTAGTCGCTACATGTGCGTACATGTGCGTACATATGCGTACTGTATAGGCGATGTACAAGAGCCCGAATGAGCCAGACTTACCCCAGTGAAGGCAAGTCTTACTAGGGCGCTCAGATACCTGCAGGGTCGTGTCGAATGTACAGAGAGAGGGAGAGAGACATATGAGGCCCTAGCCTACATCAAACCAGTGCATTGCCTTCGAACAACATAGTTTGGAACATACACATCGCTTGAGCACATGTTCGCTTCGTCCATCTTCCCCCCTGCGCTGCGACCACTATCTTGTATCTTCGCTACACTGGGGAACACCATTTCGTTATTATCATTATTCCACGATCGAGGCATGCTGCCGGTATGGAATTTCAGAAAGCAATATTGGTACATCAAGAGATGCGTTAGATCACACCATGCCAGGTCATTGCGCTGGCGATGCCCAATGAGCAAAACATATTTCACTTTTGATCAGTGCTTGTACGTTTGTGATCTGCAAGTGCAAGTGCAGGGCAGATATGTATTGAGGGCGTGGGCGGACGGGGGGAAGGGTGAAGAGCCGAAACAGAGGAGCATCGACAATACACAAAGGCCTGAAACTTAGTGGATATAGCATCACTGGCCGCCCGCAAGTGTTCCTGACCTGGCTGGAACAGTAGATTTCTCTATAGATTATGAGATTCTCATGCCCTCAAGATGGCGAGCGTTGCAGCCCTTGGCATTATCCGCCTGGCTCGTGAGTCACTGTACCTGCACATGGTGATCTAATGTGCGACTTGACAGTCAGCTAGCCTTCTGGCAGGCTTCAAACGCAACCGCATCCATCTGGAGAGACTTGATGCCAAGACCTGCAGGTCGTCTGACCCTCATGTGTCCAACTCACACTATCTGCTCACATGTCCCAGCCACTCTATCTGCTGGATATGTACATGGACTCTTATACTCAGCTTCTCATTGTCCATCATGAAAATGTGTGCTTTTGAAAACCTCACACAATCCCCCTAGCCTGAGTGGTGCATAACACCGACGACAGGTAGACGCTGGGTGTGTGTGTGTGGGGGGGGGGGGGGGTGCACCCTTTCGGGGTCCAGGCAGCGCACGCATACAACAACATTCCCCTGATATGTTTCACAGCCTGTCATGGTTTGTCAGCAACATGCCTTCGGACACCCTACATGCCATGGTTAAACTAGCAGAGGAACTACTTGTAAGCCCTAACATAGGCACACAGGCGATGTGCAGGTGAGTAAATCATAGAGCCCGTCAAGTACAGACTAGTGCATCCCTTAAAAAAATGGGTCAGACTAAAGTGAACTATTTACTGAAGTACTTGAACTACGACTGATCCAAGTACATACTGGATATGGGCCTGACTGAGGTCATACGTTTCGAGTGTAGACATGGTGAATGGCATTACTGGCAAACAAACACTGCGGCAATATTGAGTTTGATGAACATCGGACAAAAGAATTTACCAAAGCCACATCTTTTGTTTCTATTTGTTTTATTCCCCTTCACCATTATCGTGTTTCACTGTGTCCAAAAACGACACCAATAAATACCAAACACATGCACAGTACAATGTGACGTTCAAGTACGATGCAAGTTTTCTGAATTCCAAATGTAGGAGGTTTGATGATAGGTGTATAGTGGTGAATTCTTGGACAGCATGTACTTAACCGTGATCCGACGGTACTGCTCTGTAATTGTGGTTCCTACATTGCAGCCTGGCTAGTAGGCATCATAAAGAGTGTGTGGTGAGTGTGTTTTGTCTTCATCTGTACAGTCATGTACATGTACGCGTGCTTGTTCAATTTCGACTACGCCATAATTACTCACATAAGACTACTGTACTCAGGTGTAAAAATGCAAGTGCGGCAATGGTTCATGTGTGAAAAGAAGACGTGTAAGATACATGAGGAATGTCTCACAGGTGGTCGACAAGAGACCTGCTATAGAAAGGTTTGACAGCACATTAGTTATCTAGAATGTCATGCGGTCATCATATCTATCTCTACCCAGATTGCACGACACAATACACCTGTCGTGTTCATGCCGCAAGCAGCACGACGCTGCTACTTCGAAGTACTACTACTCGCACAGTGCTCCAAGTGTGCTGTTCTCAAGGCCCACCTACACCTGTTTACGGTAGAGTCAGCTGATATTCTAAGTTTCTTCAATGACTGTATACGTCTTAGTGCTCTGCTGCGTATCTTCATGTACTGGAGGAGAGCCAAGAGAGTTCTGTCACTTGTCAGCAACATGCCTTCGGACAACCTGCATGCCATCGTGAAACGTGCAGAGCAACTACACTTGACATCCCTCACACGGCCGATCAAAGATGTGCTATTGACCAAATCACAGATGCTGTCAAGTACAGACTAATGCATCACGGGTCCAAATAAACCAGACTAGAGCATTATACTGAAGTAGTTGTACTACGACTAATCCAAGGCCAGAATGGCACCCAAATGCTCGCATGTCTTCCCTCTGAATATTGTTCACGGGCTGACGGTGGTCATACATGTATAATGCATGCCAGGTACATGGTGCTACGGGCAACCAAAGACTGCTGCTGCTCTGAGTGTGATGAACAAGGAACACTCATGAATATACACAACCCACACAGCCATACTTGCGCTGCGATTCACCAACTTGCTTTTGTTGTAGGCTAGGAACATTATTATTAATTATACAAGAATGTCTTCATGCATGAACAGTCGTCCAGTGGAACAAACATCGAAAAAATACCCGTGAGGTGGACGTGTGTGACCCCTGATTATTTGCAGACAGCCCACCATCATTTCCGAAATTTAGGGGTGAAACAATTATACCGAATATTCGAATACTCGTTTGGATTTTTCAACTATAATCGTACTCGGAATAAATCAGAGTACTCGCTCATACATGGCACATGCATTTACCACAAAAGTCTGCAGTTTCAGAGCAGCAGTCAGCAGATATTGATGTGCAGAGTGTGTGGTGAGCATTTGTACATGAGTAGAGAGAGCCCAAATGACCCACTAACCAATACACCCGAGAAAAGGACTGCCAATTGGTTCAATCAGGGTTGTACCATGTGATTTTTAAGGCCCTTGGTGTGCGATTTTTAGGATATCAAGAATACTCGAATACTCGAATATTCGATCGGAGAAAATCAGAGTACTCGAACTCGGGATCTCAGTGCCAACTTTCACCCCTACCCAAATTTCATCATTTCTAGAAGCTTTCTCCTTTCTATAGAGTAAGTATTCCCGAAGCATCGGAATGACCACGTCTAAAAATAGCAATGGGGGATTGTCCTCTAGCCATGAACGTAATGACCGAAAAACAATACTGAATGCTAAAAAGGAATCAAATGTATCAAACGGATTGCCGAGGAATACATAAATCACTGGATGCTAACTATTATAGGTGCACTCTGTACAACACGTTTCTTGGTTGTATCACACTTATCGTGACATTACCATGCTGCCCATCTTCTCGGGATGGTTGCTTGCACATTGGTTTTGGGCGTCGCCCTTTGTTACCTACATATTAAGAGTCCATCAACAGTGCATTGTATCTCTTGCAGTGCATTGTGCCTCTTGCAGTGCATTGTATCTCTTGCAGTGCGTTATATCTCTCACAGTGCATTGTATGGCTTGCAGTGCATAGTACCTCTTGCAGCTGTCTACCTCTCTTCACACTATTGGGTATCATTGTGTCAAAAAAGATATAAATTAATAGAGTCACATGCATACAGCGTGACGTTCGAGTAGGTGTTCTGAAGTCCAAATGTAGGTAATATAATGCTGGGTGTATTGCCGTGAGTTCTTAGAGAGCACAAGAATACTTAACCGTGTTCCTAAGGCACTGCTCTGTAAGTATGGTTCTTGTAGCACTGGTTAGGAATCACAAACAAAAGGTCTTAGGAGCGGAATGCATAGATCCGACATTGCTGTGGCGCCTGATTAATAGACAAAATAGAAAATGTGTTGTGTCTTCCCGTGTACATGTGCTTGTTCTATTTTGACTACGCTAGAATCACTCACATAAGACTGTACTCAGGTGTAGACATGCAAGTGCGGCAATGGGTCATGTATGAAGGGAAGACGTGTATTAATGATAGAATGGGGAATATCTCACAGGTGGTCGGCAAGAGACCTGCTACAGAAAGGATTGACGGCACACTCATAATATAAAATGACACATGGTCATCATATCTGTCATCACCCAGATTGCACCACACAATAGACCTGTCATCAACATTCTGCTAGCTGCTAGCAGCACGCCGCTGCTGCTGATATTTGAACAGTGCTCCAAGTACGGTTGTGCCACGGCTGTACAAGTCGTAGTGTTCTTCTGCGTATCTTCATGTCCTGGAGAAAGGCCAAGAGAGTGCTACAGACTCCTTCAGCTAAACATGTGTGCGAAATGTCAACGTACTTGCAAATATTTGCATTGGGCACAGCCTGACGTTCTTTGTACTTTGCACGAAACGCCATGGAACACAAGCGCTGAGATCTTCCGCAAAATCTTGGTCACGAGCTGTGTCTGTATTGTGTATGTGTGTGTCTGTATTGTGTATGTGTGTGCGCGTATGTGTGTGGGTGCGCGAGTGGGTGGGTATGAGCATGTTTATGTACATGTGCTGACCTGGGTGTGTGTGTGTGTATGCATGTGTGTGTGCACGTGTGTGCGTGTGTGCGTGTGTGTGTGTGTGTGCTTGTGTGTGTATATGTGTGTGTGCTCTGCCACGTACATCTAAGAGGAGTTGGACGGTTTGCGGGAATCTCTTTTCAACTTCCAAGTGAACGCCAATGAATCACTTCCAGGCTTCCTAGGGTGTGCACAGACCTGCACATAGGCATATGAGAAAGGAATGAAAAACGCTCTCCGGAATAGATGTAAAATAAAATAAAAAAATCATTAAACTTTTTGTAACAGAGGGCGGAGGCGGCAACTAAGTTCCAAACCAAGGTAGGACTGTAAACATTCACGCAATCTTACACATCCGGTCGACAAGGGACTTCTCATAAAGTATTGAACGTTTTCGGCTGACTTCCTTACTAACATGTATAATTATAATCATGTAAATACTTGTAGTGCTTTGTGATCGTGGCATGCTTCAAATATAATTATGTATTTCTTTCCTGAGACTTTGCGCCGCACTCTCCAAACTTCCCGGGGGTAGTAAGGGAACTGAAATCAGAGCTAAAGACGATGAAAGATGTGAATGTACAGCTGAGAGATTCCGACAGAGAAATTCAGGCGTTGAAGGACGACGTGCAAAAGTTCCGACGTGAACTGCATGTTGAACAAGATCACCAATCCCGTTTGACCCACGTCTACGCTGACCCTGGGGATATAACTCATCTCAGAACTACTACAAGTAGTACTCTCCCCATCCACTTTAGTACGAGTACCGACCCTACCCCAGACCTGTCACGTGCACCGGTACAAACACAAGGCCCGGCTGCACAGCACTTTGTAGAAAATTCGTACGCAGACTCCGCAAGGCAGCCACCTAGAACGCAGACTGAGGATCTGGAGTGATGGAAATATTGATTTGCTAATGAGGGAAGCTCGCACTATGCAACAGCAGATAAAAGAGGCCTCGCTCAGATCAAGCAAAACCAACAGCACCAGGGATTATGATGATGATGGTAGGAGGTTTGCTGCCTTGGTCATGGATGGTAAGATCGGGACCGCAGCGCGTATGCTGGACAACGACAGCAGTGGTGCCTGCATTCGCTGGACAACACCATCGGGGATCAAACGGTGCGCGAAGTATTACGTGACAAACATCCCTCTGCTGCACCCCTCCACGTAGATGCCGTTATGGATGGAGAGCCCCTGCCTCAGCCACACCCAGTGATATTCTCAGCCCTTACAAGAGATGTGATCCGCCAGGCTGCATTGAGCACCCATGGGGCAGCTGGACCTTCTGGCATGGACGCAGCCAACTGGCGGGCGATGTGTACATCCTTCCGCTCCGCCTCCGATGCCCTATGTGACGCGTTAATAGCATGTGCCAGACGCATTGCTACCAAATTCATTGATCCCATCGCACTGGAAGCATATGTGGCCTGTCGTCTGGTGCCATTGAACAAGAAGCCTGGTGTTCGGCCGATCGGAATAGGCGAAGTGGTCCGTCGCATTATTGGCAAGGCGATCCTCAAAGTCGTTGGACCAGCAGTGGAGAGTGCTGTTGGATGCCTACAACTATGTGGAGGTCAAGCGGGTGGTGTAGGGGCTGCCATCCATGCAATCAAATCGACCTACGATGATGACGAGACGGAGGGTGTCCTATTCACAGATGCAGCCAACGCCTTCAACTGCATCAACCGTGCAGTATGCCTGCGCAATGTGCAGCGACTATGTCCGGAGCTGGCACCAGCGCTTATCAACACTTACCGGTCACCTGCTCAACTCTATGTTGGAGGAGAAGTTATTATGTCATCGGAAGGCACAACGCAGGGCGACCTCCTTGCGATGCCATTGTATGCACTAGGTACGGTGCCTCTCATCGGGGAAGCCTCAACTGCTGGCACAATACAGTCATGGTATGCAGATGATGCCACATCAGCTGGATTCCTGCGCAGGATACGTACATGGTTGTCCATCCTGATCGATCGAGGTAGCAAGTACGGTTACAACATCAATCCGTCCAAGTCGGTCCTGCTTGTCAAGCCTCGTTTCCTGGAATTGGCAAGAGAACTCTTTGCCAACACAGGGGGTGACATCAGGACGGATGGCTATCGTCATCTCGGTGCTGGTCTGGGCACAGATCAATTCTGCTCTGAGTACGTGTCCTAGAAGGTCGCATCGTGGTGCAACGAAATACACGTCTTGGCCAAGTACGCAGCAACCCAGCCTCAAGCAGCCTATGCCGTCTTCACTCATGCCCTACGGCACAAGTGGTCTTTTCTGGCCAGAACCATGCCTGCTATCTCTGATCTCCTTGTGCCCCTGGAATAAGCCATCCGCCTCATCTTTCTGCCAGCACTCACTGGTCGCCAAGCTCCGGCTGAAAGCGAGCGCACGATGCTATCGCTCCCCTGTCGCAATGGTGGCCTGGGAATCATCATCCCCACCGGTTTATCCAGCCAGTACTCCGCCTCTGTCTCCATCACAAAACCACTAGTGGAGAGGCTACTGAAGCAGGAGGAATCCCCTGAAGACGTGTTTGCTGCCATCAAAGCCGCCAAGTTGGATGTACGTGTGACCGCACGCCATGATCAAGCTGTGGCCCTGTCCTCCTCCAGGGACCAGCTCAGTCTGGACGACCAAAGGATCTTGGATCTGGCTGCGGAGAAGGGCACCTCAAGTTGGCTCACGTGTTGGCCATCTCGCCGCTTTCAATTCACAATGCCAAAGTCGGGATTTCGCGATGCCTTGTGCCTACGATACGGCTGGACCCTCCCCGACTGCCAACCCATTGCGTCTGCGGCAAGCAGTTTGACACGACGCATGCACTGTCGTGTTCGGTTGGTGGCATCCCTGGCATGCGGCACAATGAGATTCACGACCTCACCGCTAATTTGCTGCGGGAAGTAGCCCACGATGTTTGTGTGGAGCCTGCACTGGAGCCCCTGTCCGATGAAATGTTCCCTCTTCGGTCGACCAACATCGAAGACCATGCTAGGCTGGATGTGGCAGCGCGGGGGTTGTATGGGAGTAGGTTTGAGAGGACAATGTTTGATGTTCGGATGTTCAACCCTTTTGTCCCCTCAAATCGAAACCTTACACTCTCGTCTGTCTACAGAAAGCATGAGCAGGAGAAGTGAATTCTGGAGGTAGAGCACTCCTCCTTTGTGCCCATTGTCTTCTCCGCCACTGGTGGACAGGGAAAAGCCTCATCTGCGCTGTTTGCCAGGATTGCCAGCTAACTGAGCGACAAGCGCAGCGAGCCTTTTTCCGTCACCATGGCTTTCGTCCGGACCAAACTGTCCTTCAGCCTAGTGAGAGCCATGGGTTGCTAGTCTGCGCGGCTACCGGCGTTCTTCAATGCCACTTCCTGTTCACTCGGCTGTTCTGGCGGCTGCTGAGTGTTCATTGTAAGCATATGACACATCTGTACTGTTGATGTACATGGAGTTGCTTACCTCTCTTTCTTTCTTTTCTTTTCTTTTCCTTCTTCTCTCTCTTTAGTCTTTGTTTACCACGGCGACCCCGCGTGCTGTACTATTTTTCTTTTTCTCTTTTACGTAATTACTTTATACCAGGCGTGGGCCATCCCCTGTACATAGGTGCCACCAAGGCCGCATGCATCTGGCCACGACAAACGTCCGCAAAAACCAAGCCACCGTAGGGAGGAGACATCGCGGTACACCAGCACACAGCACCGAAAACACCCAAGAGTGCACCTGGACTCGTAGGACGACCCCGCGTGACGGTGTACTACATTGGAAATGTTCACCCGGACTGCGATGTGGATTCAATAGCTGAACACTGCAAGGCCCAAGGTGTATCTGTAGTACAAAGCGTAGTGTACACCTCAGTGCACTTTAGAACAGCCTCTGCTCGTATTACAGTCTTGGTCACGGACGCCAAGAAGGTCGCGGAAGAATCGTTCTGGCCTGACGAAGTTGGCCGTACTGTAAGAGAGTGGCGATTTGGTACAGAGGCCTGGGCCACCAAACCCGTTAAAGCATAATGCCACACACCACCTACCGGTATTCACAACCCCTGAACCCGCATGCTCCTGTGTTCACCCC